TGAAGATAATAATAGTACTTATCTCATAGGGTTGCTATGAGTTAATTTATGTCAACTGCATACTACAGCATATAATAGATATTAGCAATTATTTTAAGCTCTTCTTACACTTGGAACCAAACTCTAGACATTTGTCTTTCAAAAATTGCTTTTGTGCAGGGCCAACATCCACCAGGGGTCTTTGAATTCAGGTAAACCTTGAGACTCATAAGATCATAAGCTACATTTAGTACCAATTTACCAAAAAGATTACTGGACAGAACATATATCTTTCTAAGCAGCATCAGGCTTTTCTCTCAGCAGGAGTCTCAGAAGAAGCAGTTGGCATGGCAGTTCACACTGCCAATGTGATTGGGAAGCTGCTTTCCCAGGTGACAGACCAGGTGCAAGAAACTGAGATCCACACCAGTGGCAGCGAGGTTCACATAGGCTTAGAATCTTCATGCAAGGCATTTGTCTGGTAGCGGTCTTGAATCCAAACTATAGGGAGTTAGAGACTAGTGACCTAGAGTAGAAAGCATTCTAGTGTTTTGACACAATCTCTGTGAGAAAATTCCAAAAGCAAAAGAAGGAATATGTACCATGTCTTTTTTAATATTCCTCTTAGCTATCACTAATTACAATAGGATTTTGGCAAGGGTTTGCTAGCAGACATTCCAAATTGACATAGTTGTCAAGGATTTATAGGCATTTAGTGTTTTTGTGAAAAGATCCAGATGTTCTATATAAACTGCTTATATGGATGAAATGTTGACATTTTATGAGGAAACAGAAAATGTATTTTATTGTTGCTAAACCCCACCTTTTTGTAGTAAATGACTATTGACATGTTTTCAAGAACAAGACCTTTATCTGTAAACATTTGTACAATTGGTCCAATTTGTACCATTATTAAACCGAAACCTATATAATACTGCAAAGCACAGAAGAGACACTATAATAAAAGCAACTAAGATTTATATAGGATAATATTTAACAGGATTCTATTTAAATTGGCATTATTTGGGTTGTTTACAAAACACATTGCATAATTAGCATACGAGTTAATTGAACATAATCATTTATCCATCTAGATAACAAAAAAATGAGGCAGAACTTATTGATTTATGTTTGGGCATAGACAATACTGAGTAGCGTATTGTGACATTAATAGACTATCAGGTTCTGTTATTTTTATTTTTTATTTTATTTTATTTTTTTATTTTTCTGATGCAGGGTCCTACTCTGTCACCCAGGCTGGGGTGCAGTGGCGTGATCTCGGCTCCCTGCAACCTTTGCCTCCTGGGCTCAAGTGATCCTCCCTCCTCAGCCTCTCGAGTAGCTGAGGCAATAGGCACATGCCACCACGCCCATGTCTGGCAATTTTTTTTTTTTTTTTTGTAATTTTGGTAAAGACAGGATTTCTCCATGTTGCCCAGGCTAGTCTCAAACTCCTGAGCTCAAGTGACTCCCCTGCCTCTGCCTCCCTAAGTGCTAGAATTACAGGCGTGAGCCACCACACCCGGCCCAGGCTCGGTTGTTTTGAAACCATACCAGTGTTATGAGAAGAAGTACAAGATGTCTGCCTCAGAAGTATGGCTATCTTCCTATTTATCATGGCAAATGGTAGACATCAAATTAATATAGGGAAGAGGCCTTTAATTTAGGACACAATTCTCTTTGAAAGTTGTTTAAAATATTGTCCTTCTTCTGGAAGGGAAGCTCTTTATATGTGACAGTATGCAGATATTTAAACATAACTCCAGGAGGTCCGAGGGACTTAGATGCCATTACTGTTCCTAATTGACACCTTGGTCAAAAACACTTCATCTAGATCAGAGAGGAGTGTTACCAGATGTTAGGAAAAAGAGTCTCCTCTATGGTAAACGTGTCAAGTTATATTTCACTGAAAGAATTTTCAGTTAATAAAAGTGATTTGTAATAGTAAAAAAGTTTAAGGATCTGAGTTTTATAGTCGGTTGTTTTGCTCCACCAGGCCTTTAGAATAAATTAGCATTCTTGTCATGCACAGGTACATTTGGGAAGTTCAGAAAATTTTGTTCAAATAAATTGAACACAGACCCAAAAGTAGTGCATTACCTTATGCAAATTTGCCTTTGTTTTTACAGAGAGGATCCTATTGAATTTTTCCCTTAAAGGATTTTTCATGAAAGTAGACTTGGATGAAACGATGTTTAATAATTTTTTGCAGGCATTAAGTTGTGCATTGTTATACTCTACGAGTAGGCCTGAGACACTGCTTGGGCCTTGAATACAATTTTCTACCATTAGCTAGGCTTGACTTTGCCCATTGCTTGTGTAGCCTGTGATTTAACTGGTAGCTGGTAGGTGCATCATAATGCACATAGTTCTTAACCTCAAAGATCTTCATACAGTGTTCTATAAGAGTTCCTCATGAAATAACTATATTCTTTCAGTAACTGTCCTATCCATCTGCAAAACTAGAGGGATAATTTGTCTGGTGGTCTTCCTGAGTCGAGGGGGGAAGATTTTACTATAACCATTTAGGATTTTAAAAATCAAAGGACTTGGGAGAGGCCAGAATAAAAGATCACAATAGCACAGGCAGGGATTTGTTGATTCAGTGAGGAAAGAAGACAAGCCAGTTTTCACACTTTGAGGCATAAATGGAATTTCAACATCCTCCCTACACTGCTGGTTGATAGATGATACCACTTATGTGAAAAAAAGTCAAAAGGCGATAAAACAAACACAGCGTATAAAACAAAATTCAGAGTTAAAATGAAGAAAGGATAATGCAAGTTTTAGGTAACACCAAAGTTATTGGTGAAATCCTGAATGACAGGAGGTCCTTGGGACCTGCTTCCATGAATGACTTTGTGATGGTGCAGAACCCTTGGGACAAACCCAATATTTTCATGTTTGAGCAATGGCATTACCAAGGATTCTCAACACTACCCCTATTGTCTCCCCATTTAGAAAAACTGGCTTATTTCTGTGATGGGATTGGAAACCCCTTATAATAATTAGTCCATCAACTGGACTCCAGGAGGCTTTTGTTAATTATTAAAAGACAAATTTTAACTTGCAATCTGTCTGTGAAATAATTCAATAACAAATGTGGTATTCTATTCAAAGACCAGTATTTTTTTAAGTTGTATACAGATTCAGAAGCTCCAAATGTCCTCCAAAATACATCTGAGTGCTCCATGAAATCCTTTTTCATGTTTGTAAAACATTTGTCATTCCTGCCACACGCCCAGATGTTACATTTCTGGCTTCAAAAAGTAAAAAGACTTAAAGATGTGTAGTTGCCAAGCATTATTGCCTTTCACATTACATATTTTTTGCTGTTACCTTTTCAAGGATGTCAGGCTTGGCATATAATAGAGCTAATTAAATTCCTTTCCCAGGAAGCAGCCAGCTAGACCACTGCTCCAGGCACATAACCTCAGCTTTCTCCTTTCCTCTGCTCATTTATTCGGTATGTGAGAAGAGACTCCTCGAACAGCAAAGGCAGACGACTCAGGCCAGGCAGCTGCTGATGGATTTTAGTAACTACAGAGCGAGTGTGTGAGTCTCAATCCTGACAGCACACATTACAGAGGGGTGAGAGTGGAGGCACATCTTCCTGTATGAGTTGGCGGTGGATGACAATCTGCCAAACTAAAATAATGGAAGAGACATCGGTTGTATGAAAAGGAATCAACTGGCTGGGCGCGGTGGTTCATGTCTGTTATCTCAGCACTTTGGGAGGCTGAGGCGGGTGGATCACCTGAGGTCAGGAGTTAGAGATCTGCCTGGCTAACATGATGAAACCCCATCTCTACTAAAAATACAAAAATTAGCCAGGTGTGGTGGTGGGCGCCTGTAATCCCAGCTACTCAGGAGGCTGAGACAGGAGAATTGCTGGAGCCGGGGAGGCAGAGGTTACAGTGAGCCAAGATCACGCCATTGCACTCCAACCGGGGTGACAACAGGGAGACTCTGTCTCAAAAAAAAAAAAAAAAAAAAAAAAAATTCAACTTAACTTAGTTATAAGGTATTTTGTAAGATTCTAGGAATACCATTTCATTTTTCCTTGAGATTGCTTGTGTACCCAAACCAGAAAATATAACAAAAACAGAATAATGTGGAAAAATGTTTTTTTAATCTCATTAATGCATCTTTACCATTAAGCAATTTTGTCAGTCTTCATAGCAAAAAAGAAAATAATATTTAATAAAAATCAACTATTTGGCAGTTACTGTACTAGTTGATTTACATGTATTACTTTTCCTTTAATAGACATGCTTGCTTTTTTTTTTTCTTTTTAATAGTGAAAAAATTAGGGCAAAAGTGGTTAAATGATTTTTCCAAGTTACCAAATGACAGACCTGAAATTTAAACTCAATTTCATTTGATTATAGAGCCCCAATTTTATTTTAAAATACTGTAGGATAAAATAAGAGTTCTGTGTTAAAAAAAGAGACCCTTTTAGGTGCGATTATTTGGGAAATAGTCAAGAAAGAGACTAATACATATGCATGTCTTTACCTACATGTGTGTATGATACTTATCTTAAACTATTCACTGAGGAGAATTTTCAATTGTTGTTCATATAAAATTATTTATAGATTTTATTGCAGATAATCCTGTCTTACAGAAAGAGCTCAGGATTATCTCCTGGAAGCAGAAAGATCCATTACAAAGAAAAGAGTGACCATCTGGCCTTGTGATATTATGTAGATTGGGGCCCTGAAGAATTTATATGATGTCACTGAAAGCCAAGAGAAAGAAATTAATCTCTCTATGATATCATCTTAGAAGATAGATTGTGGATCAATTGATGTATCAGATAAATAGATAACTGATCAAAAATGGATGTATTGATTGAGGTAGATAATTATACATAGTTGTATAAAATGATTAACTCATTCATTTCTGAGGTAAAAGCAAAGTGGTATTCTTTGGCTTCTATAACATTAAATCTCTTAAATTCTTAATTGCATTCTGGAATAATAGCTCTTTTTTCTTTTTTTTTTTTTTTCTCCCTACAGTTGGACAGTGTCACCTCCCTGATCCAAGCAGCCAAAAATTTAATGAATGCTGTAGTGCAAACAGTGAAAATGTCTTACATTGCCTCAACCAAGATCATCCGAATCCAGAGTCCTGCTGGGCCCCGGCACCCAGTTGTGATGTGGAGAATGAAGGCTCCTGCAAAAAAACCCTTGATTAAAAGAGAGAAGCCAGAGGAAACGTGTGCAGCTGTCAGACGAGGCTCAGCAAAGAAAAAAATCCATCCAGTTCAAGTCATGAGTGAATTTAGAGGAAGACAAATCTACTGAAACCACTATTCTACCTATAGTGCCTATATAACAAAATCCTGGCTAACCACACTGCTTTATTTTACACTTAAGAAGTTCTGTAATTTCACTAAATTTTGGTGTTTAACTCACAAATAACATAAAATATTGGGCGCCAAATCAACATAAGCAATATATATTTGGGATCATGTCATTGTCATTTCTATATGGTCAGCACCTAATAGTTAATGAATATTTGCTTGTTGAATGAATGGAATTATCACGTGTCATTCAGTCTTTCCCATCATAGAGATTATCTACTATTTGTTAACAAATAAACACAGTAGATGCAAGAGAGTCCTGTTTATCTATAATACTTCAAGTGCACCACTTATCATCCTTATCTTTAAGTAAAACACTAACATGAGCTCCTGACTTGGTTTTTTAATAGAAACAAAAGACTTTTATAAAATATTTTCCCATTTAATCTCCATGCTTTCTTTACCTGATCTAACCTGGTATCTAACCTGGCAGAAATGTATGATTCCTGCCATAGCTAAAAAACAACTTTTTAATCTCTAGATAGCTGTACTCGTTGTCAACTTATTAGGCTGACATCCATTATAAACTAATCAAATTTGAATAGTCAGGCTACTTGCTGGATTTTGAAGGTCAACCTTGGTTATTAATGAAATATTTTCTTAACATTATAAAGGTTACAATGAGTTCTAATGCCACATATGCACCTTTTGGGTTTCCAATGTGTTAGAAAATTCTGTACTTTTGAGTGTTAGGCCTATTCGAATACATACATGAAAGAAGAGTTACCACCCACTGGGGAAATGAGACACAAACTATATCCCAAAGTGAGTTATATTAATAATAACAGAAGTGTAACTTCTATATGACCCTATTCTTACAAACATAAAAATACATTTTTATCACCTTGCAATTGTAATTAAAAGGAAAATGCCAGTTTGAAAAACCTTTTGGCATTGAGTAAAATATAACTGCATGAACTGTAACATTGAACTATGAAGCAAAGTTAATGGCAATGTAGCTGGAGTTATTTTAATAACGTTCTTTTAAATAAAAGTCACTGGGATCACTTTATAACTCCAGTCATTGCGTTCATTCCTAGTTGAGTTCATAAGGAACTTCATAATAGTCTTAGAGTCTAGTGTACCTCTCTGTCTCATTCCCCCTCTCTTTTTCTCTCCCCTGACGACCTGCTTCTCTCTGTCTTTCACAAAATGTCCTTAACAGAAACTCTTTGTAGGCCATAAGTTTTGTTTTCACTTTCTCTCATTCATAGAGTTCTGATTCACAGACTTTAAAAAACATTTTCTATTCTATATTATCATAATAGTATTGCATTGTAACTTTTTACTTGTAAAACATTGCCATTGATGAGAGTTGTCTCAACAACAATGTAACCTTAGATTGATGAGAAAAAAATTTGCACATATAATACCAGTTGATATTAGGAAAACCGGTTTGGGTGAAAGGATGCATGAAACATATGAAACCATAAAGATTGACAGTATGATATGTGTGGAATCTTAAGCATAATGGTGTGGGAAAAAAAGGATCTATTTAATAGGTCATTATTAATTATGCAGGAAATGTTAAATTTCTTGTAATGAATTATTTCAATCTTCCCAGTAGCTGGGTTGCCTGAGCTCAGTGTAAAACTTCCTAGGAGGTGAAGGCAATAAACGCCTCCCTGTTTTGCACTACAGACTGGGCTACAATAGTTCTTCTGAACAGAATGCATGGCCCAGAAGAAAAGGCAGCGAAGAAGGGAATTAGGGAATTCAGATGACTCTGTTTTTCAGAATCATCTAGATGACTGAGGCAAATAGAGATTAAGAAAATCTCTATTTTATTGAAATGCTGCCATCATTTTCTGCTCTAAGTGTAGATGTTGCAAGAGTGACATCTGTGGTACATCGTTCTTCCAGATAGAAGTTTAAATTTATAATTTAGTGGAGAGAGCAATTTTCTTTTAATCACCAAACTACCAGCTGTATAGAAAAATTTTTTGAAATCACCAAACTACCAGCTGTATATTTTAGCTCCTAAAGCCACATTTGCAAGAATCATAAGCATCTCATTTAGAAAATCTAATGTCCACTTGACCTAACGTCATCTTTCCACGTGTTGGAGTTTAGAACCTGCAGTATTGGACACCACAAGAACAGAAATAACTTGAAATTATACAATTACCAAGTAACCTCCATCTCTTTGTTAAAAATGACTTTTTACCCAAAGTGAGATGTTAACAAGTTCTCCTCTTTAACCCAGGCAAATTTGCAGCTTAACTCAAAGCAAACTATAATTAAACAAAACAGTAAAATTTTTAACTCAATGAATATCCTAGGAGTTAATCTGCTGTAATAATCAATGGTGACATAAAAACAAGACGCATAAAGCAAAAAAAGGCATCTGTCTACCTGAGTGAATTCCTGTAGTAGACAGCAGTTCAAGATTGAGTTTGATTCAAACCTGCTGATAAAACAAATGCTTATATACAAGAAAAACTAGCCGTGAGATACAAATAAATCTCTCTATTATGTAGTTAAATTAATCAGCATGACACATTTATGTTTAGGTATTTCTTCTGCAGAGGAATGCCAGAAATTTCTTAAGAGAGTGATAATTTGGTGATCCACCTATGTACCTTTTGATGTCTCGTCACAGAGATTAGTGCTTCCTCTGATCATATATTTGCTTGATCCTGCTAATAAGAACTCACCTTTCTCTCTTAATGAAATCGATTTGTGTTAATTTACAAAGGGAAAAGCATTCCTTGAGAGGGAGGTGAGGCTGTTTACCACCCGCAGGAGCAGTTCCATCCTTGGTTACCCACCCAGTATCCCTCCCAAATGTGAGACTGGAATTAGAATGAAAATTTTTTTTTAAATTATGAAATAATAATCCACTAAAGGATTTTCTCCTAATTAGAGAAATTTGAAGATTTTCATCAAATATAAAAAGTGAAAAATAGAAATTGTTCCCTTTAATTTATGACAAATTAAAATTATTGTAGTAAAATGTTTATTTCTAAGTTTCTGGATAGTTCTTGATTGAGTCAAGAAAAAACTCAAACACTAAATTTCTCAGCTAATTCGTTCATTGTTCCTTTCTGTTTATTTATTATTTATTATATGAGTGCAAACTACAAATGCATTAGAAAAGACAATACAGTCTTTACATTCACAAGTGTGCCTTCTGGCCTTCAAAATCTGTTAACATAAGATCAATATAACATATTTGTTCCCCATAAAAATCTCTTATGTACAGGGAATAAAGGCCTCCATAGCTACACAGAGACACCCATTCTTGCAGTCTGGCATTCTTGACACCTTTAGCTTCAAAGGCAGTTGGTTTTCAATTTCAAGCTAAAATTGTGAATATACAATTAAGTGCACAACTTGGGCCTTCAGACCAAATAATTAATGCTCCTCAAATTAAATAATGAGTGGCTAAAAAGTCTAATGTTTAACAACACAGGAAGTGATTTCAGTGGCTTCCTAAACCTTCACTTTGAAGGTGTTCTTCTCATCTCACCCACCTCTGGGCTAGGTATCCTGTTATTTGCTAACAATTTCCTACCAAAATAGTGTAATCAGGATAGCCCATCACAGCCAATTACTCCAACTAATGCCCTTTCCTCTTCTTCTGTGAACCAAAAATATCTCTGTCCTGTCTCTCATCTCTATCCCAGGTATAAATTGACTAATGAATTTTACAGAGTTTTAGTCAAAATTATGAATTTTAATTTCCAGCAACATTATTCCTTTAGTCTTTCTATTCTCCAAAACATTCTTAAATTTTGGTATCAAATGTTCATTTCTGTCCTAGAAATTGTGGTTCCCATAGCTACAGATTTCTGCATAGTGGCAGAATGAGTGGAATAAGATCTGAGATATCCACCATTCTCTTGTGAACTCATTGCAGAATAGACAGCCTCTTTCAGTTTCATTGTAAATAGTTCTTTAGATTGGCAAAGCAGGCACCAGAATCCGAATTTGAATGAAATCTGTACTTTCTTTTGTGGGCCTATTTTTTGCCAAGACAACCTGCCTATTGTATATTTAGGAATCAAATATTCCTTTTTTCTGTTTGTAAAGTCAGAAATATTTCAGTTAAAAAGAACATAATTTTATATTATTTTAATAATTCTTTTTAAGTAAAGTAGGAAAATTTCTGCCACCTGAGATGTTACTGTTCTTGTTTATATGAAAATTTCATTTCTTTCTTTATGACTCTTTTCCCATACCATTATGATATGTTCAGCATTAGTATTTTCCATTTTACCACTAAACAAATAAGCCAGGACTAATAGCAATAGCAGTTTGAGAGTTTTTATTTTGGCATTTTGGTTTTAATTAGGAAAGAAAACTCGGATGCTATTAAAAACCAATTGTAGTTAAAAATGTTTTGAATGAGGTTCCTAACACTATCTTAAACATCTCAAAGAGAAAGAAAGAGAAGAAGTAAAATTTTAAATACCTTTTTGTCATTTTTAACCAATTCACATGAACAAGAACATATATTCTGTTAAAGCAAAATAAAGAATAGTTTAAAACACTAGTCATCTTTCATGGGAATATTTTCCCCCTAACAGACAAGATAGAATCCATTTCTGGACACTCTAAAATAAAATAATGTTAATTGAGAGAACTGTCTCCAAATGGAATTCAATCTGACCAGAATCCCATCTGCAGGCAATAGATGGGCTGTGGGGCCGACCTGAAGTTTTATTCTGAGATGAGATGAGATGCTTCACGGCTGCTGGCTGCATTATGGCATCTACCAGTCCCCACTGGTTTGTGGGAACAAATTGCATGGATTGATATTCAATATGAGTTTGGTAAGTTGGAGAAAAATGGAGACGATACAGAGTAGTCTAAAGGGACAACAAATAAGAAGGTGCCAGAGGTAGGGAAGGGTCTGAGAGAGGTAGTTGTAGAAGCATTTAGCTTTCATAGAGGAAGGGAGAGTTTTTTGGTTCTGTGAAGACTGGGCAGCCCACCTGAGGAAAATATTAAGGATAGAATGAGACACTTGTCTTGGTGGTTTGGTGAAGTCGTGTCGAAGGCAAAAGGATGAACTATACATATTTTGAGCATGATTTCGTAATATTGTTTGCAAGCTGAGAAACAGAAATTCAGCCATTCTCCTAACTGTTGATAGGTGAAATTCTTCTCAGTATTGGAGCCAATCTGGGTAACCACACCTTCATATATTTAACAGCTATTTGTTAAACAACTATGATGTTCCAGGCACTGTTCTAGGTTCTTAGGATACACCATGTAACAAAACAAATAGTGATCCTTGCCCTCACGTGCCAGCTCTGTGTTAAATACTAACTATTATCTTATTCAATCCTCCAACTAACCCTATAGGATAAACATCATTCCATAGACAAAGAAGCTGAGGGTTAAACAGGTTAAGAATCTTGCTCAAAGTCTCACTGGCTTTAAAATAAGGTTTATTACACCCCGTATTCTGAACTTTTAGCCACCACGACATTCAGATTTCTTGGAAATTTTGATTTAATTTGTCAGTTAATAATGAGATACACATTTCAAATGCTGGCTGGCCTCCTGTGTAAAAGCAAAAATTATATAAACTTTAAAAATATATTAATATGTATTTTACGTCATTCAAGACAGATATATAATTAGCTGAATAATCTCACCTCTAATAACTGAATGTAGCGTGTCAGGTACATGGGAAGTAAGTTATTTATGTGATCTGAAAGAAGAGGACCACCTTTGCTAAATTACTTTTATTACCATGGAGAAGAAAGTGTTAACGAAAATGCCTCTTTCAGCCCATCTTCAGTATTGGTTGGTTAATACCATTTGTTGATGCCACTTCTTTCCTCTTTTATTGCTAACATGTGACTGTGTTTAAAATTATAGATTGCAGCAGAGTGTTGGCCAAGGATTATTGTAGTAAGATAAAGTTTCCCTGTATTTGAAATTTACCCAAACTGTGGCAAATACATTTTCCTTCTTTATGGAGGTCACACGTGTGCATAGTATGTGCCTGAATACAGGTAAACTTGGTTTTTTAAAATTACATGACCTTTTTTAGAGTCAACTGAAGGCTAGACTCTTCTTGCCCATGTTGCTGGATAGGCTTTCACATCTCAGGCCTTGGAGAGTTAAATGACTTTCTCGTATTTCTTAAGGTGGAACCACATGAGAAATTCACACGTTCCTAGTTTGAGCAATGGAATGTGTATATTTGGGATCGTCACTTTTATGTATTTGGTAGTCATGATGGTGCCTGTTCCCAACTGTAGGAAAGGAAAGCCCTCAAGAAGAAAATTATCTTTCAAAAAGGCTCAGATTTCTAACAATTACGTCTAAATGTTTCTTCAATTTAGAACATGTACAAAAGCCACTTAATATTAGCAGAGCAGTTCCTATGTTTTCATTTCAAATGAAATATTTCCAGTTCCAAAGTTTATCTCCTTGGCATTTTCAAGAAGGATGGTTATTTTTATTCTGGTTATTTGATGTTGGAGGTCTGTGACACTTCTTTAAACATTTAAAGCCCCCATTGAATAGTCGTATCAATAGTTAAAAGCCTGTAGATATCTTGTTTTTCTATTCTGACAGCCCAGCTTATGCAGACTCAGGCCAACCTTAGGTATGTCACATCAGGTTCCCATCTGTGTAAATTACCTGAAACTCTCTGTGGTATTCACTGAGAGCTGAGCTTCTACTAAGGGATTTCCTTGACCTGGGCTTTTAACACCAGATTTGTAGTGGAGTGTTTATTAATAAAGCAAAGGAGTAAGTCAGAGATGTTAGCCCCTGCTCTCAGTTAAACAGAACTTTCCTCCTTCCTGAATATTTAAACATAAAATTAATTTTAAACTACTATAAAAATCACGTTCCATTGCTTGCCAAATCTTATGCCATTATAACGCTCTATTCTTACATGTTAGTATACACTGTGTCCATAGGGATATAAATATGAGAACTTCAGCAACTGTCTTGTTGATTTTGCAAATTTTTCTCATGTGGTACAGTCCCTCCAAAGAAAATTTCCTTAGATATAAATGATAGCATAATAGTTTCTCCTCCATATCCGTGACTAACAAGTCCCTGAAAACAGAAGTAGACATATGTTATGCCCAATTTAGTACCTAATAATTGAGGCTTAAAACAAAATTTTCTTGGGAAAGTTGGGTGATTAAATATAAATTAAAACTTCCAGAGAAAGATTTCCAGATGCCCCTGTTTTCCATTTTGATTATGGCTTTAGTTTCATAGCAACTTGGGGGAAAAGAATCCTTTACTTTATGTACTATTATAAGCAACAACTTTGACAGCTTAAATGTAATGACCTCTCTGAAGGTAATATGCACATGATAATTTAGGATGAAAGCAGATTTAAACTAAGACTTTCTGAGATGCAATAAAAGTAACCAATTCATAATAGTCATGTTTATTGAAGCAGTATCTTGGGAGCTTAAGTTTAGTGGCATCTGAGGTGTTTCTGACCATCTTGCTTGTTCGTTTCACCCTGCTCTGCACAGACAGAATGTGATCGAATGAACTGCCTACTATATTAATGACCAGTTCAGTCGTTTTGTGCTTTGGCTATAGATAAAATTTGGCAAAAACACTGTAGGCCTTTCTGGTCCATATTTATCCTTAAAGTAGTTTTGCCAATCAATAAAAATGAATTATTTATCCAGAAATAGAAAAAACTCTTTACTATCCTATGACATTGACATAGAAGCCCAAATACTCTTTGTTTGAGACCCTGCATGTCTTTTGTGTTTAACTGAATGAATAATTTTTTAATTGTGCTCTTAATTGCATTATTTCACATATGTAACACTGGGTTTGTTTTGGTTATATAGTATTATTTTACTTTTTTCTAATTTCAACACACGTCACTCTGTAGCTCATTAAGAATTTGTTCAACTGAAAATTAAAACCTGTGTGTTAAAGTAACAAAAATGAAAAGATTGGCTATGCATTTTATGTTGATATTTGGTGGTGGATTTCTTGGGTGGGACAAATAAAATAGAGATTAATAAATTGCTGAGTAGTCCAACCATGTGTTTCTAAGTGTCACCTTCATTCTCATTCTCCTTCAGTTTTGCATATTATAATTCATGAAGGCATTTTTCCAAACTACTGCATGCACACAAGTAACCTGAAGCATATCTGATAGAATTAAATTTGTAGTCTAAATGAGCATTTTTGGTCTAATACAAGCACTAGTGTTGGGCATTAGACATGTCTTTAACTGTTCTATCTGTGTAGCTCAAGAGTTGTTCTTTAGCTTAGGACTTTATGAAAATGATCAATAACTTTTCTGAGAATGTCCAAACACATACTCCCTAGTGGTCATGGAATACCATTGGTACTACCAATGCTCTTGTATCTAAAAATTGGTGAGTTTTTAACATCCATCTTGGCCTCCTCATCTTTAGGCTGATGATAATCCTTTCTCAGTATGAATCCCATGGGGATAGCCTCTGGATCCTCTTTCAGGGGTCACATAGGCTGTTGCTATCTACTCTAGAACATCAATCCCATCATTTTCTCCCTTCAGGGCCCTTACTACTTCAGAACACCTACTGCTAAGTCTTAGTCTGCAAGTTCCCAAAATGCAGTCTCTAAGTATTGTCTTCGTCACTTGATTCTTCTAAAAGACCATGTTTCCCCTGATTCAGTTCTGCCAGACACCATCTGACTTTGTTAATGGAAATGCCAGTGTCATGTTGCCTGTCTGCCTCATTCTGTCCTGGGCCCCAGGAGCCCATAATTGCTCTGGCAGCAGCATTCTATCTGCCTTGATCAGTTTGTCATGCTTGCTCTGGGGGTAGAAGTGGAACGAAAAGCACTCTTGGCAAGAAGAGTCTGTTTCTGCCTGGAGGCTGAGCTGATGCCCTGACATTTCCTGGGCAGGACCATTAAATATTCCATCCAGGAGCAGTAACTCAGAGATGTAACTTCCAGTCACTGCATGTCCATCCTGTGGCCTCTCGGGGAAAAGCTGCTGTCCCTGGTCCAGTAACCCTGACTTCCTACTTTGTCTGAATTTCATAGTTTTAGAAAGGAGAAGTTTTCTTGGTGTATAGGCCAGAAAAGGGAGTTCTCAGGAAGACAAAGGGAATGTCAAACCCAAGGGAGTTGACCAGAGTGGGGGTTTAGGTAGAGTGGAACATACACAGGCTTTTACAACATTGTCCTTTGTGCCTGAGGCTCAGGGAGGTAGCCTGGAGGCAGGGATCTGTTACTCTGAGCTTCAGAAAGAGGTGAAATGCTCTCCTTCCTGCCACACTCTTGCCTTCTCACTGTCCCTTTAGTTGTTGATAGTGACAGGGTGTTAGGTGTGCAGATAAAATCTGCATGTTTCCCTTCTAACATCAGAAAAGACAGTTTGCTAGCAGTGGGTGGAGTACTATTCACATGAAACTGAAAGAACCAAAAGTGGGCTCTCCTCCTAAATGCAGATCTGAACACCTCCCTTGGGAGTCTGCCATCTGCAGGCATTGATTTGGAGAAGGTAGGGGCAGAGAACTAACTATGCTTTTGTTCTGCTTCGGAGGAAGATTGCATGGTGATGCTGGGGATCCACAGCTGGAAACTGGAATGGCTCCTTCTTTCCAATAAGTGCTCATAGCATCTCCCACCCACTAGGTTAATCAGTTATGTCACAGTCACTCTGAGGCTAAGTTTGGAAGACCCTAATGCTGTACCAGAGAATGCTAATGCCAGAGAAATGTTTGAGCCCCTTGACTCCATTATATTCTGAAATCCTGGGACAGTTATATCATGTATACCTTTGTATCTCCAACAACTGACACACTGAATAGCACAGCACATGGGAGGAACCCAACTGATATTTTTGAAAGGAAAGTACAAAACCATGAATTAGTTTATTTCAAATGAATGAATGCAGAACCCTACTGTTCTGTAACCTGGGCCACCTGCTGAACTATGCAAACCAAAATTCTGCCAGCTTTGGTAATTTCCATGTTAACAGAAACAAAACTAATGTCAGGGAAAGAATGAAAACTCATGATTCTTCCTGCCACTCTTTCTAAACCCTGCCACTGCCTTAGGTAAATGAAAGTTACTGATAAGGAAAAGCCACTGGGTGTTTCTCGCTGATTTGTTTATTCAACAGCCAAAAATATTTCTTGAGGGGCTGTTATATGCGAAAGGGTTATGGATGATAGAAAGAAGCGTGGATGTTTTGGAATCAAGATGTGGGCTCCTCAGGTTAATTAAAGTAATTAGCAGCACTAGGGAAATAAAAATGCTGCTCATGGGAACCTTACCATGGTTGAGGAAAGCAAAGTAAGTTTCTAGGGGGGGATTTTTTGAGGTTCTAATAGGAGAGTGGTTATGGTTTAGTAGTTTACAGAATGATAACATTCCACGAGTAGGGTATGTGTCAAGGCATAGAAATAAGAATGAGTTTGTCACATGCAGTGTCAACTGGCCAGTATGGAGGGCACTGAATGGTACTGATACAAGAGTTCAGAAAGGCAAAAGGGGGGTAGATCACAGAGGATTCAATGTCAGGCTGAGGTGTTAAGGCTTTAATTTGCAGATGGGGACAACGTCAAAGTCTTCTAGCAAGCAAGTTCTCAAATACATGCAAAGTTATAAGATGACTAATTAGGTAGAAAAATGTAGGATTGATAAGTTATTTAGAGTGAGAGAAAGGACTAGGAAAAATCAGTTGCACTAGTTCTGTATGAGATAAACAAATGCCTGGGTGAAATTATAAGGATAGTGATAAAAAGAAATATTGTCAAACCAGAAAGCATCAAACAAACTGACAGTAATAATTGTCAGACTCAGCAACGAATTCTGTGAAAGATATTGTTTCCAGTGTACTTGGTCACATCGAAAAGAACTGTCTAAAAGCATAATCATACACTCTAATAGATGATACAAGTTGAAGGCAAATCATATTTATCAAGCATTTACTAAGTGCCCAGAATTGTGCCAAACATGTACCTGCACTATTACATTGACTCTTCACTGAAGCTTAGTGGTTACTTCATCCTACTCCCACTCTGCAGATAAGGAGATGAAGACCAGTTTAAGTAATTTGACCATGCACATCCGGCCAGTGAGAGGCAGATTTGTGATTTGAAGCAAAGAAGCCTGAATTTGGTCTCTACTCTTTAATATAAACTATTCTGCAGACTGGAATCATTTTTATTTTTCACCATCTGCTCATATGGAAGCCTTTGCATCAAAGATTTGAACAGTTTTTGTTTTGACTGTGTTCCATCTGAACAAACCCACAGCTGGAGATATCCTAAAAATGGTAGCAGGAGAGTTACCACAAGGGACTTTCTCAAACCATCCCAAGATGAGGCCCTTTGGGATTCCAAAGAAAGAAGCACTAAGCACCAGGGTGATCAGTCCAAATGGTTTACTAAAGGAATTTACATACAGAGTGCTACAGCAGTCCTTGAAACATAGTGAGAAGACATCTAGATATGTCTGCAAAGAGGAGGTTAGTTTATGGAGCTCATATGGGGATTGAAGGAATTTGGTTTAGGGCTGGGGCTAGTTTTCATGTGTTTAGCAACATGTTTGATCTTTTAGTGTTTCAAGCAACAATTAAATAAGTTTATCAGTGCCTGGAAACGTTCAGGGCCCCAGCTTGGGTTCAATCATGCAAGAAAATACATACAGTTGGCTCAGACACAAAGCAGTCAAGGCACTTTGTGTTTCTTCATCAGTACAAAGAAAAAAAGGAAGGGTAACTTGGGGGACCCTACTGACTTTCAAATGACCAAAGACAAATGGGCCCATGTCTGTTAGTTTAAACATTAACTTATTTTCTTAGTCTGATCAACTCTAGCCTGACTGACAATCTGAGCGGTCAGCTCACAAGAGATAGAGTAGCAGCGCTTCTGCTTCTAAGTTACTTGTCCCAATTTTTAAGTATTCAAAAGAGTGTATGTGAAAACCAGAGATACCTGACCACAAAGTAAGGAGCTCAGAAAGTATAGAAACTGTAACTGAAGAGCAATCATAAGTCTTAGATTTCATCTAAAACTTTAGGTACATTTTGCAATCTACTATGGGATATATTCTTGTTGATTTTACTATAGTACGGCTTATTTTATTTTAAAGGCAATTTGCATTTTTCTGCCAAATAATGATGGTCAAGTGGGTTGCACCATGTTTAAGATAAACACAAGATGTGCCTTGCCTGAAATCTACTGAGATGGCTGTACCCGATTTGAGAAATGCTAAAACAGGCCACATGCGTGACTACTGTGGGATGGCAAGATGACACCATGGCTGACAGCACGGGCTTTGGCGCGACCCCACCTGGTTTGCATCCTGGCTCCATCGTTACTAGCATCAGCTCTCTCAAGCAAGTTGCTAAACCTCTCATTACCTTTCATTACACAGTCTTATTTGTGAAACAAAGCTTCCATTTCAGAGTTCAATTAACAAAATATTTGTATGTCTTATAATCCACGCCCCTTAGATTCAGTGAAATATAATGGATCCTACTACACAGAATTGTTATGAATACGGATTGAATTAATATACATACTACAAATCATGCCTAGCATAAACACAACATAAACATTTAACCATCATTATTGTGATATACATAACCGAGAAGCTTCAAGATTAAAACACGCAAATCACGCTTTTAAAACTTTCTTTTACAGAGGGAATAAGGAGAAAGAAATGCCTGGAGCAGGAAAACAAAAGCATGCCAAGGAATCAGAGAGTAGCCAATTTATATTAATTCTGTCAACAACTATTTGTTGAATATACTTGGGCTGGATATTCTTCTAGGTACTAGGGCTGCAGCAGTCAGTAAAAACAATCTTTCCTCTAGAAGGGCTTTAGAGACTAGCAGAGGACATAGCAGTTAATTACACAATGCATCCGAGAGTACACATTTTTATCTTCAATAATTGCAACAAAGGAGAGCCACACTGGTGCAATGAACCTAAGTTGAGGGGACTTGGCTGAATCAGGGAAATCTGGAAAGGCTGGTCTGAGCAAGTGAGTTCCAAGTGGACATCCAAAGAATC